GGTATAATCAGTGGTTGTCGTAAGCCTTTGTGCACAGGTTAGACTGTTACGTTAACCTCACGTTGTTATAGGTGGGTAGATGAGGAACCATCAATCTGACTACTATAATACAAGCCTTAACATCATTTCGTTATAGCAACAGAAAAACATAACGTTACATTTAAGGCCTATATCGAATTTCCCGTCAAATCAGCGCGTCTCGGAAGCAAATAACCCTAGACGTACAAAATTCTGTGCCGTTTCAAGACGTTCTAATAAAGTCGAGAACGTATCATACGAAGTGGCTGGCTTAGGCAATGGAACCATGTATAGAAATACTATGGCCTAAAACTAACAAGAATTTGTTACCCTATATTTAGTATGGTTCACACATGCTGGTCCTGTGTCAAAGGTTGGACAAGGATCAATACGTACTCATGAATGAAACCACACAGATTTCTGGAGGTTATGTGGCTGGTGTTTTCATACCGTTCGAGACAGTAGACTTACGTTCGCACGATCAACAGCAAGCATCGTTCGACTGTAAGGCCCAGGAAATATGGGGGCCTAACTTTCCACTGAATAAGGAAGCTTTTCTTTGTGCAGTAATGAGCCAGGGCATAATTACCGGGACATGCGTAAATGGGACACCTGCTCGAGGTTCCAGGCCATACACGAAATGGAAGGAGGCTAGCTGTTGAAGCGCCTCTCCATAATTGATAAGTGGCAACATGGTTTGGGACAGGCACGGCCCTCTGTTACGTATGACAGTAGTGGGATAATGTGAAGCCGGGAAAGGGGTTCGTATTCCCCACGAGACCAGCAATGTGACAAGCGTGAATTTGGAGTAGGCTCCTATGTTAAAGGTTGTTGTGTTTGGATGAAGGGCGAGCACACCGCGTCTTGGAAAGGTTGAGCAAAGGGTCGACCACCCCAATGAATGAAGACACACGCGCCCGCGGCGCGCCGCCGCCATCAAAGGAAGCTCATCATTCATCTCCAATAACAGTGGCACACACGCAACGTGTTCTGCAGATGTAAGATAGATGGTTCAAGGCAGGTTGGGTTCTGGATGGTATAGACGGTGTGTCAATGTTGAGATGAGTCGATGGAACAGCCAGCTGTTGTAGCCAAAGCCCACAGCAAAGGAGGAGATCAATGTCGCCATTCGCTCTACTTTTCCCTAACTTGTTCAATCCTCCTATTCATCTACCATTAACATGACAGAACCTTGATTTTATGATGTAGAACCAGAGTCCACATAAAGCCCTTCTCCGGCTCTATAACAACTTTCAACTGAAACGTCACTGTAGCGCTACGTCACAACTGTGTTCTACTTCGCAACAACAGCTGATGCCTGAACATTCATGTTATCTGGTCTACTCCCGCCAATAAGATATCCTCATCACTCACTCCTCATCATTGCTGCCACTTCTTGTCTCTTCTTCAACTGTTGTATTCGGTATCATTCCATCCCTCACTCTGCTCACGCACTATTGTCTACATAGCGAAGAAGAGATCAAAAACCAGGTGGACATTGTATCTTCAATCGCGCGCCAACTATCCGCTTCGACTGTCAAATGAAAAGACCAGGCTCCCACTATTCAACTAGAACCTGAAATCTTAGAAAACATATATTTCAAATGAAGATATAACAACTTTACTTTTGAAATGTCTGGGGAGATGCCATTTTACTCCAGCAAGGGTGAGGGAAAAAGCTCTCTCCTATACAGATTCCATTCAGGTCCATCACCCTCTCGCGCAACACTGGAGAACGTTAAGTCCAGACAATAAACTTCTCTCGCGCACGACAGTCTGCTCACTGGCACTCCCACTCGCGCGCTCTAGATCAGAATACTTTGGGACGATTTCCATTTTTGCCCTCCAGGAACTAGAGGATTTGAGATTCTTCACTGAGGCTGTCTCCGCATCACACACACCCCCACTCGCGTAATTATTGCTCAGAAGAGAGTGTTTGTTTCGGAGCGACATACTTATGGCATCTATGAAGCTGGATTATCAAATAAGTTCTCAGACAACAGGTTACAGAGATTGTCCTCCAAAGTATACAAGCATATTCCATCAGGATTGAACCAACACACGACTGAATATAAAGTGTAATTTAATTATAAAAGTAAGTAACATTGTAGGAATATAATGGACTATTAAATTTTAAAATATATGTGTAACAGATAGGAATCTAATTCTTAAGGTGGGGAGCGTGTAATGGATCTCCTTACAATTTGGACATTTCAATGACATGACAATTTACGTTATACTGATTACGAACAATGCAACATGTGCCATAGTATAATCTATACTAATCGAATGTGTCTACTTAAATGATATTAACATGAATCAAATAAGTGTACCTTTTTACAAATGACTTTTTCCACGAAACAACAACGTAAAACTTGAATATCAGATTGTCTGACAGTTCTCTTTTAGAGAGTATACAATTAGGATTAGATAACTCCGCCACAAAATGGTCAGATGACCCCTAATATAAATTTCCTGATGACGCTATCTAATAATTTGGAACATGTTACATGTTACTATATAATATAGCACAAAGTGAATATATACAGACATATTGGAAGATTCAGACGGCGCTTTCTTTGTGTCATTTTCCAGTTTAAAAATGGCGGACACAGAACTTTGGAACTAACTTTATTTGTATTTCAGTCTGGCTTTTTATGAATGTATATTTGTTAACATTAACTTTCAGGATTTTCTTATTATGTAAAACTAATAATTGTAAGCCTGATTTGAGCCGGATGATTCTGTCGTTATCAATATTTTTATTAAGTGAGAAATATCTAATAGAATACGTCTTGTCATATATTACTACGCTCGATGTATTGTTTTGGAGCCGGCTTTTTTTGTGGTAATATGTATTTTAAATGTAGATATGTTTATGTGGCTTTTCAATTAAGCCTTTATTTGAACTTTTATTGTTATTGCTATATTGTTAAATATTGTTAAGACTGATCCAGTCTTAAGCCGGGATTTTCATTGGCTGGGGGACTCTTTGTAGCGTCGCGAAAGTTTATAAATAGGGGTGACTGTGGTCATTTGGCATCATTCTTCTCAACTGTAAAAACTTGTCAAAGTCAGATAGCACTTTACAGCAGAATCTATAAATTATTTAGAATTGCCTGTAACTATTTCTACAGTGGAAATATTATTTAGAAATAATAACTTACCTTTATTTGCATATCCAGTAACTGTAAACAACAACAGTTCACTTACAGAAGTCTATTACAAAATTGAAATGCTGAAACCTAATATGAATTATCACGTTATGGCAGACCCTAAAAGATGTATTGGTCTTAGAAATTTCCAACATCCTGTCATACTTTACATTTATTTGTAACTAAATGTTCATAACCGAAGAAGATCCCATTGCATAAGCCTAGGTCCTCTATTGTCGAGTATTGTCAATGCCGGTATTTAATCCATCGAAGAAGAATTGTTAATGCCGCCCGATATTAATCCGTTTATATCGATAGATCTACGTCACAGAATAGATCCTAGTATCATATAATATTTATTGAGATGCACTTGTTATATATGATGTCACATTATTAAATGACGTTTACATGTTAATCGAGTTACTGATGTCTTGTACCAGTTTCCTGTGTTACCAATGCAGGGCTTACCTATATTTGTACACTCTATCCTAAGTAATAGGTTGTATAAATCCTGGTTATATAAATATCCTGACAAGATGACCAGATACTTACAAAGGATCCCTTGATGAAACTATGATGTCTCTATTATGATCTGAGCCTACCTCTTATGATGTATACTACAAAGATGACTAAGATGTGTTGAAGCTATGTCTGATGTTTAAAACAACAGCTACTTGTAAGTGTATGTAATATGGAGTAGAAGTATTGCCATACACTTACTAGTTAATACAGTGGCCGGTATCCTGATTAATAAGGATTTGGTAACTACCCTAGGGGGGTAGGTCCTTACAGCATTTTTAGCTCACCTGTCACAAAGTGACAGGGTTAGCTTTTGTGATCGCTTTCCGTCCGGCGTCCGTCCGTAAACTTTTACTTTAATTGACATCTCCTCATAAACCACTAAGCCAATTTCATCCAAACTTCACAGGAATTTTCCTTTGGTGGTGACCTTTAAAAATTGTTCAAAGAATTTAATTCCATGCAGACCTCTGGTTGCCATGGCAACCGAAAGAAAAAACTTTAAATATCTTCTTTTAAAAAACCCTAAGAGCTAGAGCTTAGATATTTGGCATTGAACATCTTCTAGTGAGTGTCTACCAAGTTTGTTCAAATAAAATCCCTGGGGTCAAAATTGGCCCCCCCCCCAGGGGGTCATTGATTTTCCCTATATGCATATAGTAAAAACTTAAAAATTCTTCTTTTAAAGAACCCAAAGAGCTAGAGCTAAGATATTCAGCATGAAACATCTTCTAGTGTGTGTGTACCAAGTTTGTTCAAATAAAAGCCCTGGGGTCAAAATTGGCCCCGCCCCAGGGGGTCATTGATTTTCTCTATATGCATATAGTAAAAACTTAAATAATCTTCTTTGAAAAAACCCAAATAGCTAGAGTTTAGATATTAAGCATGAAACATCTTCTAGTGAGTGTCTACAAAGTCTGTTTAAATAATAGCATTGGGGTCAAAATTGGCCCGCCCCGGAGGGTCTTGATTTTTCTTATATGCATATAGTAAAAACTTTAAAAATCTTCTTTGAAAAAACCTAAATAGCTAGAGTTGAGATATTAAGCATGAAACATCTTCTAGTAAACATCTACAAAGTTTGTTCAAATAACAGCCCTGGGGTCAAAACTGGCCCCGCCCCAGGGGTGTCATTGTTTTTAACTATATGTGTGTAGTAAAAACTTCAAAATCTTCTTTTAAAAAACCCAATGAGCTAGAGCTTAGAAGTTAAGCATGAAATATCTTCTTATGGATGTCTACCAAGTTTGTTCAAATAAAAGCCCTTGGGTGAAAATTGGCCCTGCCGGGGGAGGGGGGGGGGGGGGGGGGTGAGATCATTGTTTTTCATTACATGTGTGTAGTAAAAACTTAACATTGTGAAACATGTTCTAATAAGTGTCTTCCAAGTTTGTTCAAATAAAAGCCCTGGGGTTTAAACTAGCCCCGCTCCGGGGGCCTATATACAGGTGAGCGACCTCAGGACCATCATGGCCCTCTTGTTTTCTTCTTTTAGACTGTGCGGCTCATGCCACAAAGAACTGGCATTGTTGCCACAGTGATAGAGTCAAATATAATAGCTTCAAATGGTTACATTAATGTTATAGACAAGGTAGGTATTTCTGTTGTTGAGTAAAAAATTAAAATTATAGAGTATTGGTTGTTATGTCAGGGTTCCCACAAAGGGATATAAGTTTCTTATTTTAAAGTTACTTGTATTCCATTCCTCAGGCATTTCACTACAGTACATATCTATTATCGGTGTTTTTACACAACACCTAGCACAATAATTATATGTATTGGTGTAGAAGGTAAATCTGGATGTAAATTTTTATGGTTTCACATTCTGAAATTATAATGAAACACACATAGTTTTTTTGTTTTACTCTTTATTCTATTTCACTTACCTCCTTAATCAATGTTAACTTAAATTTCTTCTCAATGGAACAACTTCAGAAACAGTTGTTTTTTTTACACAGTTGTTTTTTTTTTTACCTAGACCATGCTAAATACCTTAAAAGGGCTTGTCAATCTTTCAATTTGGACAAAACTGTTCATTATTTTTAGGGGTAATTTCAAAATATGTACTGATTGCAAAGGGAACAGTGCAAACCTCAGTCTCATGGTAAAGATGTGCCAGCTGATTTTGATCTACACTGGGTGCATGGGTAGAATCTGTTGTCACCTGCAAGCTTCGGATTAAACAATAAATTGGAAATTACTTTAAATACATATTATTATATTTTCCTTCTTGTATATATATATATAAAAGGGAAGTAATTTATGTAGCTACTTTTGGTATTTGTGATAATATTGCTAATAAAAAACTTTCACAAATATTTCAGGTTTTAGAGCCAGTTGAAGCAATGTTACCCGAGGATTATCCTGATCTGGAAACTTTCTTCAGTAATCACTCAGAATACAGCATATTTGCTGGGTGGCTTAAGGTACTGACAATAATTTTTATGTCCTCACAATACTGTTTATGACACTCAACTGTTAGTGACTGCAAATTAGATTGAGGATGTATTTTTATGCCCCCGCCATGTAATGGCCGGGGCATATAGTGTTACCCTGTTCCGTCCTTCCATCCTTCCGTCATTCTGTCATTCCGTCATCATCAGTTTCCGTTCATTATCTTAAGAACGGTGGCACACATTCAACTCAAATTTGACATATGGATATGGCATGAGAAAATACAGGTCAAGTTCGAATTTGGTCATGGTTCGATGATTTTTGGCAGAGTTATGCCCCTTTTACTTTGAAAATAATATGAAATTTACAGTTTCTGTTCATTATCTACCCAACGGTACAACACATTCAACTCAAACTTGACATACGGATATGTCATGAGAAAATACAGGTCAAGTTCGAATTTGGTCATGGTTCGATGATTTTTGGCAGAGTTATGCCCCTTTTACTTTGAAAATAATATGAAATTTTCAGTTTCCGTTTATTATCTTCCCAATGGTACAACACATTCAACTCAAAATTGACATATGGATATGTTTTTGGAATGCCCAGGCCAAGTTCGAATTTGGTCATGGTTCAATGATTTTTTGCAGAGTAATGCCCCTTTCACTTTGAAAATAATATGAAATTTACAGTTTCTGTTCATTATCTACCCAACAGTGTTACATATTCAACTTAAATTTGACATATCGATATGTCAAAGGAATGGGCAGGTCAAGTTGGAATTTGGTCATGGTTTGATGATTTTTTTGCAGAGTTATGTCCCTTTCACTTTGAAAATAATATAGATACATCTTAGGAATAAGCAGTTTAAGTTTGAATTTGGTTGTGGTTCAACAAACTTATCTTTCCTGAATGTTGGAAAAATTTTGAACTTTCAGTTTCAGCACTCGTACTTTTAGCCATTATTTTGGCTACAAATATGCAATATGCTATTTTTAAAAGGTTAAGACTCATTAATTTCAGTGCCTTGAACATTGTATGAAAATGGTTTGTGTTAACATTGAAAAGTTTTAAGGGCTTTGAACTTAAAATGAAAAAAATAATTAATGCACCATCTGAAAATCAATGGGGAATAAAGCTTGATAATGATTTTTTTTACAAAATTTAGTTGTTATGTTGTTTTCTTAATCTTTATGGTTGATTATAAAAAAAAGATTTAATATAGAATGTTTTTTTTTTTGTTATTTTTACATATCGATATATAAATATTGTATGTAGACAGAATAAAATATTTGGGAACATAGTATTATTCTGCTATTTTAAGTAGGATTTTTACAAATAAGCAATGATTTTCTGCATGTGCCATTTGTTTTTACCATTTGACAATGATTTGTGTATGTGCCATTTGTTTTTACCATTTGACAATGATTTGTGTATGTGCTATTTGTTTATGATTTTGTGTCCTCACAATACTGTTTATGACACTGAACTTTTAGTGACTGCAAATGAGATTTCAGTGGGGAATAACGCTTGATAATGATTTTTTTGTTTTACAAAATTTAGTTATGGTAAAATTATGTTGTTTTCTTAATCTTTGTGGTTGATTATAAAAAAGAAATTAGTATTAAATGTTTTTGTTATTTTACATAAATGCATATTGTATTTAGACAGAATAAAATATTTAGAAACATAGTGTTATGCTGTTATTTAAAGTAGGATTTTTACAAATAAGCAATGATTTTCTGCTTGTGCCATTTGTATTTAACCATTTAGCAATGATTTGTGTATGTGCCATTTGTTTTTAATCATTTAGCAATAATTTTGTGTACATGCCATTTGATTTTAACCATTTAGGAATGATTTCTGCATTTGCCATTTGTTTTTAACCTTTTAGCAATGATTTGTGCATGTGTTATTTGTTTTTAACCATTTAGCAATGATTTGTGCATGTGTCATTTGATTTTAACCATTTAGCAATGATTTGTGCATGTGTTATTTGTTTTGAACCATTTAGCAATGATTTCTGCATGTGTCATTTGATTTTAACCATTTAGCAATGATTTGTGCATGTGTCATTTGTTTTTAACCTTTTAGCAATGATTTGTGCATGTGTTATTTGTTTTTAACCATTTAGCAATGATTTGTGCATGTGTCATTTGATTTTAACCATTTAGCAATGATTTGTGGCATGTGTCATTTTGATTTTAACCATTTTAGCAATGATTTGTGCATGTGTTATTTGTTTTTAACCATTTAGCAATGATTTGTGCATGTGTCATTTGATTTTAACCATTTAGCAAATGATTTGTGCATGTGTCATTTGATTTTTAACCATTTAGCAATGATTTGTGCATGTGTCATTTGTTTTTAACCTTTTAGCAATGATTTTGTGCATGTGTCATTTGATTTTAACCATTTAGCAATGATTTCTGCATGTGTTATTTGTTTTTAACCATTTAGCAATGATTTGTGCATGTGTCATTTGATTTTAACCATTTAGCAATGATTTCTGCATGTGTTATTTGTTTTGAACCATTTAGCAATGATTTCTGCATGTGTCATTTGATTTTAACCATTTAGCAATGATTTGTGCATGTGTCATTTGATTTTAACCATTTAGCAATGATTTGTGCATGTGTTATTTGTTTTTGAACCATTTAGCAATGATTTCTGCATGTGTCATTTGATTTTAACCATTTAGCAATGATTTGTTGCATGTGTCATTTGTTTTTAACCATTTAGCAATGATTTGTGCATGTGTTATTTGATTTTAACCATTTAGCAATGATTTGTACATGTGTCATTTGTTTTTAACCATTTAGCAATGATTTGTGCATGTGTCATTTGTTTTTAACCATTTAGCAATGATTTGTGCATGTGTTATTTGATTTTAACCATTTAGCAATGATTTGTGCATGTGTTATTTGATTTTAACCTTTTAGCAATGATTTGTGCATGTGTTATTTGTTTTTAACCATTTAGCAATGATTTGTGCATGTGTCATTTGTTTTTAACCATTTAGCAATGATTTCTGCATGTGTCATTTGATTTTAACCATTTAGCAATGATTTGGCATGTTCCATTTGTTTTTAACCATTTAGCAATGATTTCTGCATGTGCCAATAAACATATTTCTTTTTATACATGTATTTTAGAATTTTCCCTTTCAAATTCAAACAAATCTTGTTGACTTCAGGCAATAGAAATATAGCTAATTATCTATACACATTCAAGACCAAAGGCCAGACCCAAAAAAGCTGCATGTGTTTAATAGACTCCAGCATGAGTAAAGAATTATGCTATAACTGAAGATATAATGGTAAAAACATTTGTACATGTTCAATGGTAATGAAAATCTTTGGAATATACATGTATTAAAAAAATTTTCCTATTAGAATATTTGAGCCTGTCTTTAAGTCAGTTTATTGATAAATGTATAAGTTTAAGGCCCTGTTTAGAAATTTTCCCAATATAAAGCTGTTTTCTGTTTTAAAATTAAAATTTAAAACCTTTTTTTCCCCTCTCAAAGCCTTTTAAGTACTTAAATAGTAGAGGGATTTTTTTGTAAACTTTAAATGTCCATCTTTAAAATTTTTTCCCCAACAGATCTTCTAAAGAAAAAGTATTTTTTCCCCTGTTAAAAAATCAAAGGGATTTTTCTAAAAATGTAAACCCCAAAAACCTATTTTGGGTAAATAATAGAAAGGGGAATTTAATCAGAAAAAAGTGGTCTAGGGCAATCACTGCCCCTTTTGTTTATAAATGCAGATGAATAATAATTGTTGTCTCAATAACTTTAATGAACTATTTTCAGGACAAGAATTTGACAGACAAAATGGAGAATTTTATGAATTCATACACATTATTCGTCCCAAGCAATGAGGTTGCGAAAACAATTAACAGAACAGTGGTAAGTTTTCCAGAGTGTAGCACAATACATTCCTAGGAGTTTCAGCCATTAATCATGGTGTATAACTGGAGTGAATTTGCAATGAAGTTCATTAAACCTTTAGCCTGCAAATCAATTTACCCTAGTAGACCCAGATCATCTGGTGCAGACCCAAGCTCAATCCTGCACATTTGTGCCCGTTTGATCATGTTGAGAACTGTTCACTATTCTGTGATTATAAATGAGCTGCATCATGACAAAACCAACGTAATGCGTTTGCGACCAGCATGAACCCAGACCAGCCTGCGCATCCGTGAAGTCTGATCAGGATCCATGCTGTTCGCTTACAAACCCTATTACAAGTAGCGAAACTAAAAGTGAACAGCATGGATCCTGATCAGACTGCGCAGATGCAGGTGTTGGTTTTGTCATGGCGCGGCTCATATATTTTGAAATATTCCCTAGAAATGATGAATGGTATTGTCCAAATTTAAAGATGGACATGTCCATGTAAGCTATTTAGCTTGGTAAGGGCAAAAAACAAAATATCAAAAGTTACTAATAGTTAAAAACAATAATAGCATGATAACATCTTTCAGGAGATAAAGATTTGACTTTCTGTAAGAATTGACACTGTTGTTGTGTAGAGGTCAATATTGATGTATAAAGGGCAGCATTGCAGATATTCCTCTGTATTAGGTCACTGCCTAAGCATCTATCTGTATTCAATATTCTAATTCTTGTTTTATATTTTACCATTGCAGACAACAGACTATCTGCGCTTCTACATTGCACCTAAGATTCTAATGATGGCATCTTGGGGTGATAACATGGATAATACTATAGTGACTGACCTTGGGTACGATCATCAGCTTGTCACTGAAGTGAAAGGATGGAATAAGGTACTGTAATCTGTTCATTGGTGTACAGCTATGAACGATGAAATATTAAAAAACAATGCTTGTATAGTCAAATAAAACTTATTTACATATTGGACTTTAATGACAAATTATTTCACATTTAGCACTACTTTTGTTCAGGTGATAATAGATTTACTCCGGAAACATATTTTTTTTGGGGGGGGGGGGGTCCCAGCTAATTTGGGGGTACAAACAATCTTTTGCCGTTACAGTTTTGAAAATTAGTGCAAAGGTTTGTTTGTACCGGGAAAAACTGACATTTGCCAAGTTCCGGATTACAACTATTGTCAAACATGCTCGCAATCAATTCTTGAAATACATAGTAGTTTCAAACACATGTTTTCCTTCCTATTCTAGAAAAGAAAAATGTACTAATTTTATGAGGAATAATGTGCTGCTGTACATTGTAGTATACTGTAAATGATGTGCCAGTAGTGAAAGCTGACATGTTTACATATGGTGGGATAGTTAATGAGATTGGGGGCCTTCTTCATCCGGTACTGCATGAATGTGACGAGAAAAATACCACTGTGAACTTTGTGAGTATTCCTTATTTATGCCTTAGATATGAAAAGCGATTAAATTTATAGAATTTAGGTATTATACCCCTGCACAGCAAAGTTTTAAGGGGGGTATACTGGAATCAGCTTGTCTGTCCGGGGAAGACGCGGCCGTTGGTTTTTCCTTGTCCACCCAATTTCCTTAAGATTCCTTTGACCCACAGTCTTCATATTTGGCATGGAGGTTAATCATAATCAGTAGATGACAACTATCGATTTTGAGGTCACTGGGTCAAAGGTCAAGGTCACAGAGGCCTTGACTGAAAAAAGCTTGCCCGTCCAGTAACTGGCAACATTATTTTACAAAAAAAGGTCAGTGTATAAAATTAATCTTGTCAATTGATAAAGTTTTTTTTTCTATTGTCTAAACTAGAATCTTTCCTCCAGTTTTACAAGTTATGTTATTTATTTTCCTCTTGATTAACAAGTGATGTTATTTTCCTCTCGTTTTACATTCCTGCTGTTTTACAAGTTTTGTTATTTTCCTCCTGTTTTACAAGTTATGTTAATTTTTTCTTGTTTTACAAGTAATGTTATTTTTCTCAAGTTTAACAAGTTATGTTATTTTCCTTCTGTTTTACAAATAATATTATGTCATCCTGTTTTACAAGTTATGTTATTTTCCTCCTGTTTTACAAGTTATGTTATTTTCCTCCTGTTTTACAAGTTATGTTATTTTTCATCCTGTTTTAAGTTATGTTATTTTCCTCAAATTATTTTAGTTTTGTAACTTTCCTCCTGTTTCACAAGTAATGTTATTTTCCTCCTGTTTTACAAGTTATGAATGTTATTAAACTTATACTAACATCCATTTATACTACAGGGTCCATGTACAGTGTGTAGTCAGGGATCTGTTTATCCATGTTTAGGGGGTGACGTCCCAGTACCAGGGAAAGGACCATTTGACTGTATGTATACAGAACACTACCGGAATTTTTACGGTCTTTACGATACACTTCCCAAGAGGAAAGGTTGCCAAGGACTATGTTTGAAACAGAACATTGTAAGATTTGTATTTACCTTTTAAAGATATATTTTAACCTTTAACCTGCTGAAATAAATAAAAAAAAATATTGGCCTCCTTCACCAGAAGTCTCTATATTCATGCAGTCTGACCAGGCTCTATACTCAATTTTTGTATTTTCAAATTGAAATCCTTCAAGCAGGTTAACCTTTTTTCCCTTGTATAAGCGTGTTTCGACGGCTTTTTTGCCCCCCCCCCACCCTTTTTGAGGCCTCAAACAGTGAAAAAAATGCCCTATTTAGACCCCAAACACTGTTTTTCATTTGAGAAATGTTGTTAAAAAAGTGACCACTTTTTTGGTGCTGTCACCCATCCAAATATTACATCAGGGGATTGCCAGAGAAGGGGGATGTGCCCCCTTCCTGTTTGGGGGGTTTGAGGGGGGCGGAGTCCCCCTCATCGCCAAGAAATTTTGGACATGTGACAGGCTTAAAAATGGCCTCAGGTCGATCTTCGGTGTAACAAGTAAACCGACGCTGAAAAGCCTTTTACTCTATCTCAATTCATTGAGAAGTTGCAGCACTTTGAAATCAGTTTTGATGGAAAAAAACAATGCAAAATAGTGATTTTTGGCAATTTTTAGACGTCCCCCCGTTGCCATGGTAACAGGAAATTTACAATTGAGCATGCTGTTACAGAGGCTATGGTGTAGTCAGGCTATGGTGTAGTCAACATTTGTGCCAAGTTTTATGAGTATTGAAGCATTTTTCATAGTTTCATAGCAGTTTGAACTTGTTACAGGAGGCTTTTCAATGAAAACGGCCATTTTTCGCAATATGCTCATGGAGTAAAAGGTTTATATAACTAATTTGCTTTAATGTTACTGTCATGGATTCTATATGTATTGTACGTTATTTGATCAATAAAAAAAAAGAATAAGAAATGGTCCTTAAAATATGACAAAGCGTTACAGTATGGGCTCTTCAATTAAAATGGACTCTTTTTAAATGTAAACCATTCTTATTTTAGATGTTTGATAAATAGAAAATTGTATTCATGAAGATTCAATATTAATACATTGTGTAGCTTTGTATATGTTGCTATGCTTTTTAATACATTGTGTAGTGTTGTATTTGTTGTCATGTTTTATAGTGTAGTGTTGTAAGTTATGCTGTATTGTATGTTATATTGTGTTGTATGTAATGCTGTATTGTATGTTATAGTGTGTGGTGTTGTATGTAATGCTGTATTGTATGTTATAGTGTGTGGTGTTGTATGTAATGCTGTATGTTATATTGTGTTGTGTTGTATGTAATGCTGCATTGTGTGTTGTTTTGTATGTAATGTTGTATTATGTGTTGTGTTGTATGTAATGCTGCTATGTATGTTACATTGTGTTGTGTTGTATGTAATGCTGTATTGTATGTTATATTGTGTTGTATGTAATGATGTATTGCATGTATGTCGCGCTGCTATGTATGTTACATTGTGTTGTGTTATATGTAATGCTGTATTGTATGTTATATTGTGTTGTGTGTTGGCAGATTAAAGGTTGCTGCTCAGGATACTTTGGGAAAGATTGTCAGGGTAAATTTTCTTTGTTGGGAACATTTCTTGCGTTCTCTCAATGCCTTACACTTGCCTTTTATAAAAATTACTACTGTCAATTCATGTAATTTCATAATAAGGCATGAAATTTCATGGTTTTGTTGCAAAAGGACATTTTCATGAGTTTTTAAATATGCAGATTGTCTATTTTTGTGAAATGTAAATAATGTAATGCAAAATAATCTTATTTAACGGTACACAAAATGAAATTTTGTTAGATCTTAAATTCATGAATTGAACTATAATCTAGGAAAACCATGAAATTAAATGCCTCACAAATTATAATGATTTTGCAGTATATGCAGACCATGTATTTTACCTTGTATTAGGAATATCTAAAGTGAGTTCTTGAGTGGTCTTGGCATGGCATACAGGCTTTCTACTGGTCCCTACTTTTCCTACTTTTCCCACTTTTCCCTACTTTTTTCTTTTGATCCCTACTTTGCCCTACTTTTTTCTGAAATAGCCCTTTTATCCCTACTTTTTCATTTTGAAATGAAATGAAAAAAGTGATATTTAAAATGGTATTTCAGTTGTATTTCAGTTGCAATTGATTAATAGTTCAGGTGTGTGTGTGTGTGTCTCCTTGTGATGTCCACCCTTGAAAGACTCATGGTCAGAGCTGCATTACTGGTACTCAGGTACTGCAGTATGTACTACAAAGCGATTTTGCAAGTACTGTACTGATACTAAATTACTCTTAAAAATTTTGCCTACTACTGGGTACTTGCATTACTGTCTTTAAAAAGAAGTACTGCTATTGCAATTACAAAGGGCAGTATTTTTGGGTTTTGATAAAAAATGTCATTATTTTTACTCATATAGTAAAAATTGTAAATTCCATGTATTATTTTATTGTTAAGTAAGTTATCAAATCTATAAATAATTTGCTGCAATATTCCCTTCAAATGTTTTAACATAGTATTCATCATAAAAAGCACCAAAAGACTTAAAGTAAAATTAAATTGAGATAAACAGAGTCAATAACTCTTTACTGGTAAAAAATCCTTATTGCAATCTTATTACAATGTATTTACTAGTAAAAAAAAGAGCAAAATAAAACTAATTAATTACTTCTATTCTAAATAATCCTATTTCAAGTGATATTGTTAGCACCATAAAAAGTTTTACATTGGTAATAAATTGAACAGAGGTGTAAAGGTGTGAAAAGGCAACAAAAAGACTGGTGGGTTTAAAATGTAAAATTATTGCATTGTATTTACAGTTGAATTCGGTTACTCAACAATAACATATATGACATGATATATGTTGTAATTATTGTTTGTAAAAAGTATGTTTTTTCATTTAAGTTGTAAAATGCAATGTCAACTTTAAAAGTAAATGATTTTTATTTCTTTGTTGAATAATGTTTGCAATTATTTTTGAATGACACTGTGTATTATTCAAACTTTGATGAATATATAAAAGTATTAGTACTGGTACTTATTTACTTCCCCCAAAAAAGTACTGGAGCTGCAGTACCAAGCTAAAATCAAGTACTGGTACTGGTACTGCAAAACTTGGCAAGTACTGGTACTACTGGTACTTAAGTACTACAACCCTTAGTACTGATGCAGCTCTGCTCATGGTGTCTTGGCAAAACATTCAGCAACATTCTGGCTTTGAGGTGCCTCACAGTCTTTTCAAAGCATGGACTGACTTGAAGATACATACAGCCTGATTTGGTCTTGGTGATGGTATGTTTTGCTAATTCTTAAATAAAACGGTAAGAAATTCCTACTTTATCCCTACTTTTTAACATCAGAAATCCCTACTTTGCCCTACTTTTTGGTAAAAAAATGCCCTACTTTTTCCCTAGTTTTTTTGGTAGAGGCAGTAGAAAGCCTGGGCATAACTTTCTTTTTTCTCCCTTATCTTGTAAAGAATTGGTTTTAAGATTATTATCCCTTGCCGAAAGGCGGTGGGGGATATAGAAATAGTCTCCGACCGTCCGTCTGTCCTTCCGTCTGACATTTTTGTCCGGAGCATATCTCAAAATGTATTTGAGATATCAACTTGAAACTTCATAGGTGGATAGATCATATTGAGGAGGAGTGCAGTGCATAAGAATGATAACTCTACTTTGCATAATTTTTCAGTCATTGCCCTTTGTTATTTTTCAAACTTAATTTTTGTCCAGAGCATAACTCAAAAAGCTTATAAGATATCAACATGAAACTTCATAGATGAATAGATCTCACTCAGGAGGTGTGCAGTGCACAAGGATGATAACTCTACCCTTCACAGTTTTTGAGTTATTGCACTTTGTTATTTTTTATACTTGATTTTAAACCTAAAAGGAGCATAACTCAAAAAGTCTTTGAGATGTCAACATGAAACTTCATAGGTGGATAGATCTTATTGAGGAGGAATGATGTGCACAAGAATGATAACTCTTCCCATTAAATTTTTTGAGTTATTGCCCTTTGTTATTTTTCATGCATTTTGTCCGGAGCTTATCAAGTTGAAAATTCATAGGTGGAAAGATCTCATTGAGGAGGAGTGCAGCGCACAAGAATGATAACTCTACCCTGCATAATTTTTCAGTTATTGCCCTTTGTTATTTTTCATGCTTAATTTTTGTCCAGAGCATAACTATAAAAGTCTTTGAGATATCAACTTGAAACTTCATAGGTGGATAGATCTCATTGAAGAGGAGTGCAGTGCATAAGAATGATTTAATACCCAGCATAATTTTTCAGTCATTGCCCTTTGTTATTTTTCATGCTTAATTTTTGTCCAGAGCATAACTATAAAAGTCTTTGAGATATCAACTTGAAACTTCATAGGTGGATAGATCTCATAGAGGAGGAGTGCAGCACATAAGAATGATAACCTACCCTACATTATTTTTCAGTTATTGCCCTTTGTTTTTTTCAGCTATCAGTATTCACATAGGTTTCAAAACTGTAATCACTTCAGCCATCAGTTTTTATTACCAAAAGACCTCTTAAAATTGAATTCTTCTGCTCTTCTACATATACCTTCTTCCAATGAGCAAACACATTTGGCGAGGGATGGCCATGTTGACATGGCTCTTGTTTGAATTATCATCAGTGTAAAGTATCTGTTTTGAGAGACCAATGATAACATAGACCATCCATATAATTTCCAATGCATGGTTTGATTTTTGCCTTTGTTTTTTATGCTTAGACTTCTTTGAAATAGAAATATTCTATATGGCATGTTTAGATGATTTGCAGTCTATGAAATGCAGATATGAAGCCCACTCCTGCCCACAGTACTGTTTTAAACAGATTCTACCCATGAAACCAATGCAGGCAATAATAAGCTGACACATCCATGCCGTCTGATCATGGTCTGCACACAGTGTTCCCTATTTAGTCAATAATTATTTAGAATTTGTTAAATGATTTAGTCCATAATGATAAAGGGACAAGTCCATTTAATGTATTTAGCAGGGTAACAGTTTAGCTGTTTAAGGAGCAATTAGCCCTTAAATTTATGTTTCTTATTTATGTTAATTGTTATAGATAAAACTTAACTTAATATACTCAAGTGTGCAAATAAAGTACATTGTATAACTTAGTAGCATTTTTAAAATCAACAGGAATTTCCTTAAATGTGCTAAAATATACAAAAATAGCTTAATGTATTACTAAATGGGCAGACATATGGTGATAAAAATATTAAATTCTGTCATATTTTGCATAAAAATAGTTGATTCTGTCACATTTTGCATAAAAATAGGTGATTCTGTCACATTTTGCATTAAAATAGTTGATTCTGTCACATTTTGCATTAAAATAGTTGATTCTGTCACATTTTGCATTAAAATAGTTGATTCTGTCACATTTTGCATAAAAATAGTTGATTCTGTCACATTTTGCATTAAAATAGTTGATTCTGTCATATTTTGCATAAAAATAGTTGATTCTGTCACATTTTGCATTAAAATAGTTTCTTTTGTTTTATTTTGCATAAAAATAGTAAATTCTGTTATATTTTGCATAAAAATAATAAATTATGTTATACTTTGCATAAAACATGACAGGGGTCACTTGGATTAAGAATATGTTTACTTACTTATCTGGAACCTTTCAGCATACATGTATAAGAATGATCTGATATTATTCACATTTATAATATAATTTAATTAGTATAATTGATAAAGAACAGTTAATTATGAGTTACAAGTAACCAGGTGATCACTGTGACCTTTGGTCTTTAGTCTTTTTGTCACAATCATCTTTGTCTTTTAATCTGCAGATGAAGAGCTTTTGATTATACTTTATTTGAATATACTGTTTTTATCTGTGATAAACTTTCAAGCTGCTTTACTTATTTTTAAAGAGTGCCCAAGCGGTCCCGAGTTCCCTTGTAATGGACATGGTGTATGTAATGATGGTATTTATGGTGACGGCACCTGTAAGTGTGACCCTAAGTTCCAAGGTGAACAGTGTGATACCTGTTTAGAAGGTTGGACTGGTGAAAATTGTGACATTGGTAAGGTTTTATAATTTACTTTATGTAATATCCATTCTCTATATCTAATAGCTAATTTCCACCATTTTACCATGTGATTGTCCAATATTTTTGTTTTCCCATTTTGCACATAGTAACCATTATTGATTTTGAGGTCAGACAGTCAAAGGGTCAAGATCAAAGTGGCCTTTAGCACTAAAACCCAGTTCATAACTATAGAGAGTGTTGTACCATTATGTGGTCAGTCGAGAACTTGGGGCCATTGTCGCCAATAGTCTAGGGGAGATAACTACTTAACTGTCTTTATTGTGTTAACTGTGCTATGGTCAAACTTTTATTATTTTCTTTTGTTTAAACATGTTTTATTTCGCCACATATTTCTAGCTCTATGGTGGAGAATGATTCTGCTTTATGGTGCATTATTTGAGGTAAAGTGCATTTGATTGTTCTACAAATCAGATATTAAAATGTTTGACCTTGACATTTCAGATATGACAAGTTGTAGTTACAAAAATGGTGGCTGCCATTCACATGCCGATTGTTACAAGGCCAGTAAAATAACATGTACATGCTGGCCTGGTTTCCGTGGTGATGGGTATAACTGTAGTGGACTGTGTGACATTGATAACGGTGGTTGCCATAGAAATGCAACCTGTCAGTATATTGTAAGTTATTTAAAGAAGTGATAATAACAGTTTCTTTATAGAAGTTTAAAATTACATAAAATGCTTAAATGTTTTACCATTGGTGCATTTATCTCCTTCAGTGGCTTTTTTTCCAAATTTTGAAACAATCTGTGGCTTTCTGAAGTTGAAAATATAGCACAATAGATCAGAAAGGGGGCAAAATCAATTTTTAACAATTGAGAATGGAATTGACCCACATATTTTATAATTCTTCAAATTCAATTTAATTAAATTACAATGCTTGGTATATAGCATATGCTATCTATAAGAAAGCTTTCTGTCTTTCAGTCAATTCAATTTATCAATTAGCTCAGCTGTTATTCAGTTTTGGTTTTGGTACACAGGGCATTTCAGTGGAAAATATAGCATTTTAGAGGAAAATATACCTATTTTGAGATAGGGAAATAGCCTTTAATTGGCTGTAAAATATAGTGGCGGAAAAACACTGTACATGTACTTGTAGTGGGGGTACACAATTTTGTGTAAATCCTGTAACATAACAAATTAAGTATTTTACAATTAACCAATTTTCCATAAACTCATTATGGATTTACTTAATGTCATGTATTGTTAAAAAAATTGAACATAATGTTACCACTATTTCTACAGAGGAGAGACAACATTAAATGTGAGTGTAAGGAAGGTTTAGTTGGTAACGGAAGAACAAATTGTAACAGTGACATTGTGTCATCTCTTGTCAACATAGAACAGACTACATGGTTCCGCAAGGTAAAAAAAAAATCTTCCTTTTTTAAAACACATTTTTTTGGGAAAAGCTTTTCTGGATAATTTAATTGCTTATTTCCAAGTGACTGAGTACTAATCCCACATGATTTCTGACAAAATAACCATAAGATTCAATGTATGAGATTAATTGTTAAAGAGAAATTTTGTCTCACCCAAAGCAAACCAGCAACTCGTGGAATGCAGTCCAATTGTCTATCTATTGACAGGATTTGTAACTTTGTACAGTCTTAAAAAGTGCTTAAAAATGAAAATAAGACCATATGAAAGTTCTTTAACTTTGTTTTCTTAAAAAGTGATTGAAAAGTTCTTTTTGCCTGAAAAGTGCTTGAGATTGCAAAGGATGACAGTGTGCATGGTAAAAACTTTAAAGTTTTCGACAAATGAGCCCAAAATGATCTCAAGGTAACACTTTTAAACAAAATTCATTTTCACTATTAGACGTCATATATAACCTTTATCTAGATGCAATATTTATTTAAGCAGTACAAATCTATGATGCACAAAATATTATCAAACTATAGGCTATGTTTTGTGTAATTTAATTCCAATGAAACAGATAAAAATACATTTATCTCTTTCTAATATTTTGATGACATGTTCATATTTCAGAGCCTTTTGAGAATGACAAATAAGACGTTGCTAAGTAATCTAAAATCTTCCTACTCTACTGACCAGTTCACATTGTTTGTGCCAATTGATAAAGGCATGGAGATGAAGGTAATGTATATTTGTTATATTATTACATAACTACCTGCCCGGCCCTTGTGCCTTAGGGATTTCCTTTACCGGTTGAGGCATCAGAATTACAGTCACCATTTAACTTTGTGATGATATGAGGCGACTAAATAGGTTTGATTTATGGAGTCTGTGCATCTCTTAGCTTCAGCAAGTGAGGTGGTTTAAATTGACCACTGGTGTTGCTTTTGGTTTTAAACATCCGAGGTTAGCCAAAATCATCTTGCCTGTTTGGCGCCATATTAGCCAAATTGTGCCGGTGCGCTGTAAAACCAAACGATCATAACTTGAAAAATACATTATAAAAAGTGAAAATGTGAAGCATTGAAGCAAAATTAAGATTATACACCCACACAGCAAAATGAAGAATGTTGCTTTGATGTGGTTTTTTATGTCCATGGATTGCAATAGTTCATGCTAGTTACCTAGCACGTGCCATTAGTACCACCAGCTTCAAGCAGAGATTAGGTAAAATAATATCCGCAAGGTGATCATATGACATTTTTGTGATGTTCTATAAAGGAGTGGTGTAGGGGAAGAGCATCTATCACTGATCATAAGATCAAAGATTCTAAGTGCACATGGCAATCTTTTTTTTAATTTTCACAACCCAGACTATGGGTTTGACATATTGATGGGGTTTGACATATTGATGGGAAAGAAAAAACATACAAAAAGCATGATTATAAGGTAAGGTTCTCAAAAAAA